GCTGCCGCTAAAGAAAGATCTGTAACATAACCAATATTCCTAACCCTGGTTGTTGTTTGTTGAATCCAATGTCAGAAATATTATTTCGAGGTCACACTTCTGCCTTCATGTGTGTAGATCATGCAAATAAGTTACTTTCAGATACAAACTGGAAAAAAGTCCTCTCGAAGCAACTACTTACTTTCATATAAACATTGAATTGAATAAAAGAAAAAGTACTGTCGAAACAACTATTTCAGGATGAACACTTTTTCCTAATTAATTTTTATTAATTGAATTCCATAACGAATGTATGTACAGAGTAAATAGAAAAAAGTGCAGACCTATGACCTTGTAAGTACGTGTGGCAGATACTCGAAAGAAAAACAACAACTAACCCAGCTAATGCTGCGCAGAAAGTTGAAGTAAAACCATCAGGCACCTGTGCAACGTCTTAGATTTGGAAGAGTCCTCGCGAAACCGATTAACCGGTTTCCGGGTACTTGCCTCATCATCAGTACCCGGCATGGTCTCTTCAGAACACAGTGAACCGTATCATGACCAAACAAATATAATTCCAGCTAGTCATGAACTCTTTCTGCAGTTGAATTAGTGGGATGTCCATTGCGCCATCATCCGACAAAGCCAGGAAACAACTCCACAAAAACATACTACGGGGTGAGAGTCGAAATAATGATACCTACAAAGCTGTAGGTCTGCATAAGATGCAAGGGGTAAGGTAGGTGTTTTCACCTAAACCTGGAGCATGTCATATGCACCTCTTCTAAATATTAATCATTATTCCGACTCCCACCCCGGAGTATGTGTTTGTGGAGTTGTTTCCTGGCTTTGTCTGCAGTTGGTGCAGTGAACAATCCACTGAATCAACGGCAGAAAGAGTTCATAACTAGCTGGAAATATATTTTTTTGGTCGTGATACTCAGACGGTTCATTCCGTTCTGAAGAGACCATGCCTGGTATCGATGATGGGGCAAGTACCCCAAAACCGATCTATAGGTTGGTCGGATCGACGAAATGAAATTAATTTCTACTTTTCATAGTGGGAAATAACTTGCGACGAATTTTCCAAACCGAAGACGTTGCACAGGTGCCTGTTGGTTTTACTTGAACTTTCTACGCGGTGTTAGATGGGTTAGTTGTTGTTTTTTCGTCAAGTATCTGCCACACGTACCTACAAAGTCGTAAGTCTGCATGAGAGGCAAGAGCTAAGGTGCTTTCAAGAATGAGTTTCTGGTAGTTTATCCACTAGAAAACAATTAAATAATAAAATACTATAGGATCCACTAAAAGGTGCATTTTCACTTAGAAGTAGGGGTGTTAATTGAAATTCTCAAACATAAATTTTTCAGTAATAACCAATTTCCGTTTCATTCTTTGGGTTTTTTTTCCATATTTCAAGTGTTCACGAACTTTGTTCAGAAGCCGTACTAACTAGCATCACCATAGTAGAAGGTATTCACTGAGGTGTTTGTATTATTGACAACATAAAATGCCCAAGTGTATTAATTCCTTTGATTTTAATTCCAGTAATATTTCTGGCTTGAAAATATAAATTGTAAGTAAGTACAGTATGCTACAAGTAGCATATTTGTAGATTTTCATAATAATTATTATTGTCAGGGAGCCGAAAATGTTATTTTTGATTAAAATATTGATTTGTTTCAAGTAAAAAAATGTCGATCCATTACTTTATGGTTTGGGTATAAAAAAAATAGATGATAGTATAATCCTCAAAAGACAACATGTGAAAGCATGAACAAGCAGGCTATTTGGATATCACCTTAAAGGTGATAAACTGGTGAATTTTCCAATTAAAAAAACGGCTCGTTTGAGTAGTTAATTTGGGGCATACTATTCATTACTAATATACATCCACCCCTTTTTCATCATTGGCAAATACATTTACTTGACTTAAGAGAATGTTTTAATATTTTTTCATACAATAGTCAGTGGTTATTGATGAAAAGCTTTCTACATTGGTAATCTAATACAATCACCTTATTTTACATCGTCTAGTTAATAATGATAATAATAATAATAATGACCTTCATTAACCATACATGTATAACAAAATAAAATGGGATAAATTAATAGCTCCAGTATGGTTGAAAGGAGTCTATTCAGTCAAGACTGGCCTTCCTCAGGAACCTGCGATACAAAACAAAAAAATAGCTAAGGCTAAAGATTACAAATCAGAAACTCCCAATAAAATAATTATGTGATTACCCCTTTGTCGTGTGACCCAAAAAGATGAAGGAATAGTTGACACTGTCGTAGTCTCCTATCACTTGTCATGATTGTCCCAGTACACTACTGAAACAGAAGGACAATCACCTCTGTCTCAGTACATAACTGAGACAGAGGTTGTCCCTTATCTTGTGTTTTCTCTGTGAGATCATCGAATACTACTATAGGGTTTGCGCTGGTCCTGAAATTTATTATCCTGGACTATCTGGCATCAGCCACGTTAAACACCACATAAACCAACTTATGTATATGACATGACCAGTTGATTTATAATGCATTACAATCTATATGGCCTTTTTGGTATACAAAACTAATTTTTAAAAATTATTACTTTTGCATATAGAAATCCCTTTTCCGAAAAAAATTTCAATTTTCTTGTTTTTTGTACGACATTTGATTAGGAAAGATCTGTAACATAACCAATATTCCTAACCTTGGTTGTTGTTTGTTGAATCCAATGTCAGAATTATTGTTTCGAGGTCACACTTCTGCCTTCATGTGTGTAGATCATGCAAATAAAAAAATAACTGCGTAAACGCAAGCAAGACATAAGTGGAACCACCTATTGGTGGTATAGTGGTTTCACTATAGGTTTCATCAGAATTCTCTCAATCCGGTCTGTAACTTTTTTAGCATGAGGGAGAAAACGTTTTCATTAGAAGGCCTAACTGGAATACCTTTGGTTGGCGTTCTGTCTCCTCTTGGATTCTACTTCATTGTAGCCATTTACTTTGAAGGCATTTCAGGCGATTGAGTTTCCAGGGAGACTCACGTTCAGGGATGCGTCAGAACCCCTCAATTAACTTTTTAATTACACCTCTCTTTGTCATGGCTGGTGGTTGAGAGTTTTATTCAGTCACAGGTCTGTGTGCGTTGGTTTTCTGTATACTATGATCCATGTCTGCTCACAAGTAGGTACATCCGAGAAAGCTACATAGTTTAAATAGTTTAGCTTCTCTTCTACATCCTGCCATTGCGGTACCATCCATTTGTTCATGAAAACACCATCCCACTGGAATTAAAGAAAAAATAATGTATGATCCGCAAATTGTGCAAAAACTTATTCTGGGTCACAACACAAATTGTTATATCTTTCAGGAGGAACTGTTCCTTGGTGCATTTTGAGGAATCCACCAAGTAAGGCATAGTCGACAACAAGTTTTTGGACAATTTGTGGAACATATATTATTTCCTCCTCAACTGGAATTATTGAATCTACAACTTCAGGTTTCGCTTTCTTCTTTTGCTGATCTTCTTTTGTACCTACTACCTTTGGGTTCTGATTCTTCCACGTCAGTATATTCTGGAGAGGGCAAATAAGTTACAGTTTTGGTCGCTTGTAACTCTGTATTTGCGTCTTCTAATAAATTCTCCTTGGGCTCACGCATATCTGCTCCTGGTTTATTTCGACTTGAAATCAGAGGAATTCACAGTAGGACTGACTAATCCGAACAACAGTCAAAAATCGTTAAGAAAAATTTTACGGAAAATTTTTTCAAATCGTTATTATGACGACAAAATTCAATTTTTTTCAATACTAGGATTGCCTGTTTGTTCATAAATAAATGCTCCATGACGCGGAAAGATTACCAGTAATATATTAACCACTTCGCAAAATCAAACAAACAGAACAACCCCAAACGCACAATTCAGCACGTGATAATTCAGGTCTAATGACAAAGGCAGACGCGGCAGCAACCCAGGTAAATTGTAGCATCCAATCCTATAAATTGAGAAACAAAGTTCGACTGAATCAGTAACGTGAGTTGGCGTATGTAGTTGTAACATATGCCTTGTAATCCAAAGATCGTGTGTTCAAATCCTATGGACCCTATAATTTTTGTCCCCCGTTAACGGATGAACAACTTTCTCATCCATCCCACCCCAGCCAGGTAGGGGTATCCCGTTCAGTCATGAACCCATTGGTCCTTCTCGAGACCAACAATCAGTCGAAAGGGTAGGGGAGCTGGACTTCAAACCTGAAAGAAATGAAGATGACATTCTGCGACTGAATCAGTCTAGTTCCAAACACCAGGCATCACCAGAAGATGGCAATTGAGACTTTGCCGAAAAGTTGTGCAAGTAATCCTTGTGAGGATCAAAAACACAGAACACGGAGCGAAACCTGGAAAACAGCTCATCATTCGAGTATACAGTGCATTTCTTTGAGCCCCACCCCCTTTCAAAATATTGAAATTTGAAATAGTGAAATTAATGCATGAATACTTTATTTTGAAGTGAAATTCTCAGATGATGACCCGTTCAAAAAATAAAAGGGGTGGGGACATTAAAGAAATGCACTGTATACTGTATATACCCTATACCAATAATGAACCGTTCTTGAGTTATTCATTTGTGGTAATCGAGTGGTTCCCCCATAAAATTCAAAAGTTTGATGAATACATAAATACTTCATTCCATGTAGGAGTAACATTATCAAAATGTTATACAAGGAATCGATGACTAATTCTGAAGATATAAAAATGGGCCAAAACTCAGTGTTTTCAAATGCTACACCCTGTATTTTAGGATAGTTTAGAAATTCCGATATGATTTTGACTCACTTTCATGAAACAGTCCCTATATCAAAAATCAACCGTTCACGAAATATTTCAGTTCTTTTTTTTATTGAAAAAAGAAAACATGCATATATCAACCATAAAACTACGAGCTACGAAACCTTAATTTCAAGCAGTTACAAAAAGTTTATTAGAGTTATTAATGTGCCGTCATTGTTTTTATTGATGACAGGATTTCAGATGAATAAGTAATGAATTAAAAAAAGGTTCATTCTGAATGTTCCATAAAAGAGCAAAAATTCAAAAATATTCCATTGTCTTTTCACACAAATAAAAACTTTTTCAAAATAGGACATTTCCGTTAATTTCAAGATATTTGTTAAATTGTTATTTACAGCACGACTTATTTAATCAGCATCTAGAGAATTGCATGAAATTTTCAATTTATCGTTTATGATTACTTTATCTTTCAATAAAATAGAAATGCTATGGAAACAAATAAAGATAGTGTTGATTTATTGATGTCATTTGTTTAAGTGTCCGAGTATTTTATGAATTCCTGAGCAAAATGTCCCGTTTAAGTTATACGAAGGAAAATTGAGCTGTTGAAAAATTGTTTGTGCTCATGAATCTTCTTCCAAAAATAACCCAACGAAAGCCTTAGACCAATAACGAAGATCTGGAAATAGATAGAACATTGACTCCTCTACAAAAAATGCATTTCAAAGAATATCCAAGTTCGTTTTCACTGACTGGTTGAGAATAAAAAAGGTTGCGCTGGTTTTCGCAATTCGTTTTGCTTTGGCTGTCACAGTGGTTCACAATTTTGTGTGGGCAGGAATTTACAGTTTTTGGGATTGTTACTTAGGAATAATATGCATCTGAAATAGTAGTATCAATAATTTCCAATTCTATGTGTTTAGTTTCTGTCGAATTTATGTATTTTCTGAATTATATTTTCTTTTTGGCGCTAGTCTCATTACATTCACCACTTTTTCAGTTAGTACTAACTTTCATGATATTCTACTGATAAGTTTGTGTATAAGTACGTTATACAGTCAATGGATAAGTTTCGAACTTCAGGTTCTGTTCATAACAGAAAACATGAAGTATCCCGTCCTGTCAGAAATGACGGAGTTGAAGTTGCAGTTTTAGGACATGTACCAATAGTCTAATAAGTCTAATCAACAAGTTCAAAAACATGAAAAATAGAGATAAAGGTCCTAAAAATATGAGCGATAGCTCATTCGATTCGGAATCACCTCTAGAAAAATGTTTTTGAAGGATTTTGGAGCAGGTAAAAAATTACAATTGTTATTAACAAAAGATTTTTTTTTAAATTGTATTTAGTTTTTCGTTAACTCAAAAAATATTAATATTTAAGCAATTTTGAAAAAAGCTCATTAAAGAGGAACCCAACCACCGAGGNNNNTAACGAAAAACTAAATACCATTTTTTTAAATCTTATTTTCTTAATAACAATTGCAATTTTTTACCTGCACCAAAATCCTTCAAAAACATTTTTCTAGAGGTGATTCCGAATCGAATGAGCCATCGCTCATATTTTTAGGACCTTTATCTCTATTTTTCATGTTTTTGAACTTGTTGATTAGACTAAAATGGAAAATCAACAATCTATCAGACAAGTAGCTAGAGCGTCTGGTATATCAGCTGCTAGTGTTTTTTCGGATTTTGAAAGCCGAAAAATTTCATTCTTTCAAAATGAGGCTAGTTCAGGAAGTTAACGAAGATGATCCTGATTGTCGACTTCAGTATTGTTAGGTGTTAGCGATAATCTGACCAATAACCCAAACCTTATTATACAATACATGTTTTTCAGACGAAAGTTCTTTCATGTTGAAGTGAATAGACATAACTGTCGTTACTGGAGCGATATGAATCCTCATTTGGTGATGGAAACACATTCACAAACTCCGCAAAAATTGAATGTCTGGGCCGGCATTCTTGGTAATCATATTGTTGGACCATTCTTCATTGAACAATCTATCTGTTGATTGTGTTTCCACTGATATTATTTTTTGTTGTTTCCTCATTAAAATGAACGACAGCGAATTTTTTGTTTATTTTTAAATAAAACGTTCAACATTTAATTTCTCAATAACGAATGAACCAATTAAAAAAAAATACAGAGGTAATAGAGGGAGGAAAGACCTTTCAAATGATGTATCACTCGACCCCCATGCCATTGAAAAAAATAGGGGGCTAGTTGTTGACCGAGGGGTGAAGTTTCGGATATAATTTTCATATTAGAATTAGTCCTCCTAGAAATAAAAATTTTCGATTACATGTCCGTTTCTGACTTACAAGGGAGGTCAAAATTTCGTTGGAACGCACTGTATGTCCTAACTGCAAATAAACTATAAATAAATTCATTTAGTTTGTAATTTTCAATTCTGGATGTTTTTTGTTTCAGTCTCTGGAAAGCACGCGACGGATGCTGGCCCTTTGTGAGGAGGTAAATATACTTGGAAAAACGTGGCTTTTGTCTAAATGTACTCAATACTGATTTCTAATTCTTCAGCTGATATTTTGTAGGAAATATGTTGAATGAAGAAGTGCTTCACAAGTACAGAAAAGGTTCAGTGTTTTCAAATTATAATAAATCAATGATTGATTCATACTCAATTTTTAAATGACCTCTACTATTATTTGAGAATGCAAAATGAGATAAATTTGGTCCTCTTCTTTTCAGACATATCAGTAGCAGAATCTATAGAAATTAATAAGCCTTTTCAGGGTTGCATAATTAATTACTATTCATTTGTATTGCTATTATATCTTGATTCTTAAGAATCACAGGAATATCCAAACATTTCAGTTTGTCAAACTCAAACCTATAAAGAGTATTTATGAGTATTCCTATAAAGGAATATTAAAAGATATAGATATATTAATGATGGAATATTACTGAGATATGCAAAATGATCTGAAAGGAGGAACCATTAAGGAGGATAATCCTCCCAATCAGTTTTAATAATTTCAGAGTAAACCTTTCCTGTATTAAATATGAACTTCTTGAATTGTCTTCATTGCGCTGGTTTAATCTGGGGAACTAAGAAGAGGATATACCTTATTAGTTTCTTTCATTCTGTAATTAACTCGGTCCTTCTATATGCTCTTAATGTTTCAACCTTTGTGCAAACCTACTTTAACATTTCAACAAAGTGGAAATACCTACCAGAAGTGTAGATAAACTTTTAAAAATTCCCAGTTTGCTTGTGTTCTTTTTCTTCGATTTTCATTTCACAGATAATTATTTTTAGTAGTTGAAAATATATAAAAATTGGGATCTTGAATCACATTCTATTTTCTACAAATTGAGTTTGGCTGATAATCAAATAACGTGAATATTTTTTATTAGATCTTTTATTTATTCGCTATAGTTTTGATGGCTTAATATGAGTCTTTTATTACACGCTTCACCTGCATGTATATTTGTTTGTTTGTTTGTAACTCTCAAGCTCGAGATCTGTATTTGACAGAATTATCGACATTCTATTCGCTGATCTATTGCTGATTTTCAAGCTCCCTCTCCAGAATCGGAAAATATCAATGGTCATTTTTCTAAACAATACACGGCAAAGTTTAGATAAGATAAACATTGA